TCGGGATAAAGAGAAGATCGACGACCCCGGTCAGTGCAATGAAGAAACCGACTGCACTGCTGTAACGAAGCGATTGACCGACACGTCGTACTCTTTTTCCGAATTGGAAACTACACATTTTTGAACATGATTTCCGAACCGCCTTTTTAAGTAGGTCGGTTGTCAGCGCGCTTGGCTGGTTCCTTACCATTCCGAAAACGGTGATCGCCAGCACGTATCCCCACCCCAAAGCGAGCTTGACACGCTGCCTCCGTGCCTCCGTGCCGATCTGGCCATAGCTCCTACGAGCGTCCATGACCTGGCGCAACGAAGCGAATAAGGCAACGCGCCCGACGTGTTTGTGATGTAGCCCAGCAGGTGCCGTGGATGAGCCTGGTATGCAGATTCCTCAGTTGATCGTCGTGGGTCAAATCAACGAGTGTGTTTACACAATGGTAGTAGATCTTTACGACTGATGCAGTTTACGACCGCTGATTGGCCGAGACCTCTGATAGGGGGACGGCAGCTCGGGGACGTTCACAGTTCTCTCCAGCGTTCTCTCTCGAGATGGTTCTGCTTCTTTAGGTGTGGCACTCAACACCTTCGTGCGGAGATATGTGCATATGCAATATGGTCTGGCAGTGGTACAGAGTACAACAGCGGGCGGTCCCGTTGCTTCCCCCACGGAGGAGGCCTCGCACAGACAGTTCCGCAGGTGCCAGCCGAAGTATAATCAGGAACAGCTCAGGATAATTGTGATGACCGAGGTGAGGTATCCAATGCGATGTTGTTGTTGTTGTCATCACATTAAGGGGGGGGCAGAAGAGCAACATTGATGTTGGCGAATTTTGAAAACAAACGCAAGAGGTCCAGATATTGCACGACAGACACACAAGACCAGTCGGGAGGCATCGCGAAAAACAGCAATCGTTGATCCTCGCACAGGGCGGCGGTAGAGGCTGCTCAAAACATACATTTCACGCGTCTACCTCCACAGGCCTCCCTTGAAATCAAGATAAAAATTCACACCACTCTAAATTCAAGTCAAAGGAGCCAAAACGGAAGGCGCTCAAACAAGGTCAGTTTTGAGGGTTAGGTTAGGCATTCTTTTGTCAGCAGGAGAGGACATCATGAAGAGGCGTCGTGCGTGCTGGCACGT